CCATATTTCATAGTTCCTCAGCTTTCCTGTGGAACTGGGACATCTCCCTGCAGGGAAGCATGGATGGCTTTTTTCTGCCTGCCAGCCAGTCCCTACACTAGCATTACAGGCAGATCAGACATCAAAGGTGGGATCCCCAAAGATGCCAGGAAATCCAAAATCTTTTATAAGAGCACATTCCATAGCCCATGAGGACAGAGAGGGCTGCAGAGAGGCCTCGCTGCTTTTGAGGAAGGAGTCACATCTGGCTGCAGCTTTCCCTTGGACCCGACAGCGGGTTTGGGGCTCTAGGACAGGGCTGGTTAAGTGAGACCACATGGGTAGTGCACCTTGGGTTGCACCTAAGCCATCTTGGTCCCAGCACAACCCCCATATTTCAGAGCAGATCTGGGGCCCCCTGGCCCCCCAGAGTGAGCATGGATGTCCAGCTCCCAGAATAAAAAACTAAATAGCTGGGCAGCTGTTTGAGCAGCTCCAAAATTACGAAAACAGGACTGTGGAACATAACCACCTGCAGGCCTAATTCACCTCCTTCCAGGTGAGAATTACAATCAAACTGCTGGATTTGCTGAATGAAGTTCATCATCGAATGGTCTAAGTGCATTTTCCTTGCATGGGTTTCCTCCTTTTCAAGGACAGGCCTATGTTTAAGGATGACCAAAGAGGTTCAGAGCCAAGGTTCTGTGAGTCCAAGGAGAGAAAATAAAAATTATAACGCCTTGTTCCTTTCTACCTCCTCCCCTTCCCCAGGGTTTTCTTCTTTGTTGAATCCTGCTTAGTACCAGATGGTAGAAAAGAGGGAAGAGTGAGTAGCAAGTCTGTCAGGTCCTGTTATATATCCTTTATATTCCTACTGTGAAAGATAGTCATTCTGATGAATTATCGATTGATTGTCGGTGTGTAATCGACACAGGCTCCCACGGGAAATGCAAGGTTGCAAAAGGCAACAGCCTGAGAGACAGGGAGAAACTGAAANCTCCCACGGGAAATGCAAGGTTGCAAAAGGCAACAGCCTGAGAGACAGGGAGAAACTGAAAAGACACTGGTGTGACATCGAGTGCCTGTCTATGTGGCGTACTCCATAGCTAACCTGCATTATGGTTCGTTGCAGGCTGGATGCACCAACAAAGACAGGACATCCAGTTAAGACAAATAATGATTAGCGATGACTCCCATCTATCGCACCCTCATGGGCGAAGTGCTAATGCATCGATCTCCCCATTCACAAAGCCCCCGAGAGCCCAGCGTCTTTTCATAATGTCGGTCTTACCAGGAGGAACATAGGAGAAAGTTTTCATTTGCTTAGTCTTGGGTCCCAGCTGGGGCAGGTGAAAGTCTTCGGTACCCCACTCTGAACCAACCTTAGGGGCAGAAAGGACACTTCATTGCATCTCCTTGTATCTTGCTCCTATGACAAAGTTTGTCACTGAAATCAGGACATTTTCTGGGTGGGCCACTGCATCTGCAGCCCTGGCCTTTAGGACATCTAAACCCACAGATGGTTCTTTGTTTATCCTGCAAGATCACCTGGGAGTCAGTATTTTGTGTCTGACAATGTGAGGCCTCATTGTCCCCCCCCCCCGGTCACAACTGAATTGTTCCACAGCAAATAGAAGGAAAACCTTGACTCCCACTGGACATCGCCAAGCAAGCGGGGCATTTCTATCTGGGGTCAGTGGTTCAAGAACACCAAACTGCCAAATGACTCTGTTATTTCTTAGTATCAGGACCACTGGCGGTCTCCTGCCAGCGTGTCAGTATTTGGCAGGTGCTTCTGGAATGCTCCGGAGCAGGATTCTGCAGGCACAAGCAGAAACAGTGGAAATTGTATTACCAGCTGAGAGTGGCTTCTATTTTGGGGATATGTGGGCACTGAGAGTTCAAACAAGGAATGGCTCTGGGGCTTTGGAGTGACTCTTGCTTTTCCAGGACACTGTATCCTAAGATAGTATCTGTTTCCCCCTCCAGGGCTGAAGTGATTCTGGGGAGCATCATCAAGAAGAAAGGCTGGAGGTACTGCATTCAATGTAACTGTCTGTTTGCCTTTTAAAAGACTTATTATTTCGTGCCAGAAAAGGGAAAATAAAATCACGTGAAACCTGACCAAAAGGTTCTTCGAAAAAAAAAAAAGTCAACCCTTGGTAGAGAAATGATTTACAGTGGCTTGAAAATAAATGCCAGCGAGTTCATTACTTGCGCTTCACAAATTATTGACTAGTCATTGATCACAATGAATTACCCCGTAGGGTTGAGCAGAGAAGGAGGGAATGTTTATGAGATATTTATGCATAAAAGAAAATGACATTTTCATGGCTTCTGACTTCCATTTGTGTAATCTGGTGAAAAAAGCAAGCTGACAGGAAGCTGATTATCTATACACACAGATTTATGTTCACTGTTGATTTTATTAACAATTCTGAATGCAAAGAAACGATGAAACAAGAAGCCCTTGGGATAAATACTTCAAAGCTTTCTATCTGAACACAATTAGCAGGCCTCTCTCCTGTGTGTCCAGGAGCCCTATTCTCTGGGTATTCGGAAGAGTGCTTCGTCTGCTCTCCTTGAGGGGTCCCTCTGAGAAATACGAGGGGCTGTGCTTACATGTCCCCTCCAACAGTAATGAGGGGTGCCGTAACATCTGTGGGGGCAGGGAGGCAGTCCCCCCATTTCCCTATGGGGGTATCAGCCACAACAGCCACTTCTTCCCCAGCATGGACACAGAATCAGGCACAGCCCAGCAAAGGCCACTGGACAGCTTTGGGGCCCTCCTCTGCTGTAGCATGACTTCTACTGATGGCCAAATAAATAACGGTGCTGTAGTATCAATGAAGATAACAATGCAAAGAGCTTTGTACTCATGTGCATACACTTAGTGTGTATTTCCTAAAGTATAGTCTAGGAAATACGGACATTCTCAAAAGGTGACAGCTCAAGACTGGTTTTATTATGCCTTTGCACATATCACTTGACCTCCATCTGGGAGGGGAAACTTAAAGGGTGGAAGAGAGCTTCATGCATTTTTAGGGCTGCTTACTCCTCACCCTGAGATAAACATTTGGTAGGAATAAGGGCCTGTGGAAATGGAAAACTAGACATTTATGGAGATATGAACAAATAAAGTTTGGTGACCTACTTTCTCCCTCTCCTTTCTCCTTCTCCCCCACCCCAGGGGACTGCACAGGTATTACGAGAAAACCATATTTCACTTTAGATATGGAAAAATATTCACGTCCCCACCCAGTCGTCCACCTTGCCTGAGTTACTTTCTCACCCAGCATATTGGTCCATCTATCACTGCCTAAATAGGGACTTAGTTTCCCAGGGCTGCTGCAACAAAGTACCACAATCCAGGTGGCTTAAAACAACAGGAATTTGTTCTTGCACGGTTCTGGAGGCCAGGAGTCCAAAATCAAGCTGCTGGCAGGGTAAAATCCTCCTCACATTCTCCTAGCTTCTGGTGGGCCCAGCAGTCCTCAGCCTCCCTTTGCTGCAGCAGCAGCACTTTGACCTCGGTTTCCATCATTGCATGTTGTCTTCTCTGCGTCTGTGCGTCTTACGACACCGGCCATGTTGGAGTAGGGACCCACCCTACTCCAGTATGACCTCATCCTCACTAATTACATCTGCAATAACCCTATTCCAAATAATCCCACATTCTGAGGTACTGAGGGTTAGGACTTTAACATATCTTTTGGGGGAACACAATTCAACCCATAATAGAAACCTTGAAGATAAGTCCACTAATAGCTCAGTGCAGTCTGCAGCAAGGTGTAGGCTGCCAGAGGATACCTGAGGAAGAAGGGGAAGCATTGACACTGTGGCTCTTTTCCCCTCTACACCCAGAGAAGCTTTGATCACCACTGTCCATAGTGACAGAACATATTTTATATACCTGCTGTAGATTAACATGCATATTTCACAAACTGTCTTTCAGTCTTGCAAATAAAAACTCAGGCTGTCACTGTATTACAGAATGTTCATGAAAGTTCACGGTTGAAACCATGAGACTGGGAAAGATAAACCATATCATCATAGCAATGAGCCTGTAAAAGCTGTTTCAACCAGCACACCTGGCTTCTAGCCCTGGTGCTGCTACTTACTGGCTATTTTATCTGCGGCAAGTTACTTCGCTTCTCTGATTCTCAATTTCTCCATCTGTAAAATGGACAGCACAACTGTTTATGAAGTGTCATACTGACAGAGTGAGATAAGGTGTGCAAAAGTATTTTAAAGGCTGTGCAATATCACTGTAAAATACGTTATCCTCCCCACCTACTCGGAAGAGTTGCTCTAAGAGCCCCCATGGGAGTCCATGATAATTTGCCAGGCTGCTGTTGCTATTTGACCATAAATGTTAGTGTGCACACCCATAGAGGCCAAATGTTTTACGGAAAGCTTAACTTTGGAAAAATAGATCTATTGTGTTGTTGGATAGAATGTGCAGCTTTGGCAAGCCCAACTGATCTGGATTATGAAAAGGGCTGCATTCATTTCTTATAATATTCCACCCAGCTTTTTCTTGAAGGTTGAAAGGGTTTTCTAAAGGAATCTTGGCTCCCCCAAGGCTTATTGCTATTACAGTAGGTATCATGAGGTTGATGGATTAACCCAGAAAGTACACCAGCCCTTTGGGGTGTGTAATCTCCAGGTGCATACATCTGTAGACCTTCCATTACAGTGATTCAAATTACTTTTCAGGGAACTAACTTCAGTAGGATGGAGCTATTGATATTTTCAACAAATTTTTCTTGTTGCAACCAACTTGTCAGAATTGTCACCATCATTCTGCATTGGTTATCATTAATCATGCTAGGCTTTTATACCCAGAGCCCCAAAGCGTTGACTCTACATCTGATGGAATTATAAATGCCTTATTTCAAATACAGTGCTCCTAAAGTTTGGTCTTAACCTTTGAATCTCAAAAGATTTTTTTTCTAGACCAGTTTAATTGAATTACATATCTAGAGAAACTAAATTGCACTGAGATCTGCTTCCCCATTTTAAATTATATTTCTTTTGTTTTCAAGTCATATTTCTTATTTCATGATCATAATGCTATGATTGTATTTCCTGTCCTGGGGTGTGGGTTTGACAAGATTTCCACATTTCCTTCCCCTAGGAGTAAAGTGATAAACCTTGAATTAAGACACTCAAAGAAATGTTTTCCCTGTTTATTCTCAATATTTATTGAGTGTTATAATTTATGTCCCCATTCATATTTCCATGTAGTCAGTTCCCGCCTGTGAATATGATGGGTGGAGGGCATAATAACTCACAGCCACTCGGGTCCAGGGTCCTTGGCAGAGAGTGGACTTCCTCCCAAGCAAAGTTCATGCACAATCAACGTAGTGCCAGATGCTACTTATGTATTAGTTGGTGGCTGTTCATTTGAACTACTAAAGCAATACACCCTTTAACTCCTTTCACTTACGTTCTCAGGTACCATTTCTGATGCTCCAGCCAGGCCTACCACTCACCTTCACCTTGCACCCCATTCAGGGCTTGCTGGCCCTGCCTCCTCCTCTTCTAGCCCCTCCAGGTGAAACCATTTCCCTGGCACCCCTTCCTCTAAGATCTGACTTCAGGTCCCTGCTCACCAGTTTCCCTTTGTCCTTACATTTCAGCGACATTAATTAACAAATGTATCTCTTTACCACATTTTTAAAATGTGAGGTACAATAACAAATTCTTTCTGGTCCTATAATAATAATATGACTCAGTACAATAACCCACAATTTATTTACTATTTCTCTGTTGTTTGTCTGTTTGGTATACAGGAGGTCCAGCCTGGTCATAACAACCAAACTCTACTGGGGAGGAAAGTAAGTTAAATACCTTTTATTTTCCCTACAGAACAGGAAACAACTAGTAGTTCATGCTTTTATCCTTTTAGGCAACTATTTTACATCTAACATACTAAAATTAATTGGCATAGAGATAAGGATTTTTTTTCTCACACTAAGAAAATAGCGATTAGCCAGGATTCAATTTTAGCAAGATACTCCCAAAGAAATTCAGTGAAAAGCATGTGGTCACTTGTTACTAAGTGATTCATGGAGATTTTTCAAATACCAACCTCATACTTAGAACCATTTCCAAAATAGAGTTCAAATTTCAGGAAAAGAAAATAAGCACAAAGCATCACAGAAGAAAAGCTACTCAAATCTGCCAAAACTCAGTCTTCTATGGGATGCAAAGATTTAAAAACATCTTGTCTGGCTCCACTTGTAAGTCTCTGATCATTTCTGCAGAGGGCTCTGAAAGTGCTGATCAAAGGACCAGACCATTAGAGAATAACACGGAGCTACCTGTATCACTTGCTGTCAGGCAAATGAAAGCGAAGTCCTCTCTCTGTTTTGGATGCCAAACAAATTTCACAGGACGAACTGGCTTCTGATGGGCCTGCTGGTGGACTGGTACTTACATTATTCAGCAGGACTTAGAAAGCTGGGCTTTTTGACAAACATGTAAGAAGACAGCAAGCTATTCTATATACTGGAACAATTGTTGGCACTGTGCTTTTTATGGAAATCTCAAAGAATGCTGAAGTCTTAAAAAACAAAAACAAACAAAACCTTATTTACCTCCCAATAGTTGATAGGGAATAGTTATTTAAAAATTATTTAAATACAATGGGATATTTTATTTATTTATTAAAATAGTTATTTAAATAAAATAGAAGGCAGAGCCAGTTCTTCTTTAGGAAATTTCTTTTTTTTTTTTTTTGTCTTTTGTCTTTTTCCGTGTCCGGCAACGGATCGCAACCCTCAGTGTTGCCCCCGTACCGGACCGGGGACCGGCAACAGGATCGCAACCCTCGGTGTTGCTCCCGCTCCTCGCTCAGCCAGTGAGCGGGAACCGGTCTGGATGTGGGATCTGAACCCTCGGGCGGGAGCGCCGCTACGCTTCTCAAGCGGCGCACTTATCCAGTGCGCCACCGGGCCGGCCCTTCTTTAGGAAATTTCTAATCAAAATATATACGTATAAGGGCTGGCCAGTTAGCTCAGTTGGTTAGAGTGCAGCCTTGTAACACCAATGTCATGGGTTTGGATCCCCGTACTGGCCAGCTACCAAAATGTATATGTATATACACATATACCCATATTTTATTGTTGTTTTTGAGCTTACTTATGATGATATAAAGACAAAAAGATGGACTTAGATTTTTATTATTATTGTAGTCTGTATAAAAATAAAGCAACATGGTACCTATGAGAAATGTGGATTTTCATTGCCTGTACTTTGATTCATGATGCCCTTGCTTGGTGCTTTTGCAATGGAACATAAAACCTTGTTCATAGTTTAAACGTAAACAGGAAATGAGACAACTTACAAGAACCATAATGTAATACAAACAGAATTGTCTAATATACTTATAAAAGATACAGAATAAAGATACGTTCACAAAGGTGAATAGTAAACTACTATATTTTAAAAAGAGGCTGCCACAGGTATTGATGTTGAAGAAATATTTCATCAATACTTTAAAATTCAAGGACCATATTTCTTTCTACCTGGCCAAAGCTTGAGAAGTATCTGGGAAAGCAAAACTCCTTATGACTAATGGTCTGTCTTTTTAGGACATTAATTTAAGGAAGACTTGGTTCATCACATTTTAGAGGAAAATAGTTATTAAATTTCTTTTGGAAGTCAAAAGCAGTTTCAAATTTGCTTTCTTTCTCTGAAAAGCTTATAGCAGCAGCCTGGCAATCTTACAGTAAATTCACAAACTTACAAACTTACAACAAGCCTTTTTTATTTTTATTTTTGCTTTAGATTGGTTAAGAACTAGGTAAGAAGGTTGAACTGTGTGTCAAATTATGTATAGACTGGGTGCTTGTGGCTGAGTTGTCATTAACTTGTGCCTGGTGCTGAATGATATTAATGGCATGGTGACAGTCATGGTTAATTCATTTCCTGGGATCTCCAAAGAAAAGGGGCTCAGTGTGTGACAGCCTTCTCTCTTCAGCCTCTACTGGTGCATAATTTTCTGAGAAAAGGCTATAAAATTAGCAATCTAGTCTAAGTACGAGTTATTATTATTCTGCACTTTTGAAAGAGGTTAAAAAAAAAAAAGCACTCCCCCACTCAAAGTCATTTGCTTCTTTTTCTTGGCAGAGCTGAAACAGAAAGAGGGTTGTCAAGAAAGCATATTATTGAAGGTGGGTACTGCTGCTTCAATTTTATTTTCATTTGTGGGCTCCTGATTCAAGAAAGTTATCAACCACATAGGTTCAAAACACATTGGAAGGAAAAAAATTTACCTGCATAAAAAAACTTTGTAGAAAATGACCACTGGGTAATTGATTGGCTGTGCCATTGCTTTTGCGATGGTACTCAAAACTTTACAAAGTTTAGAAATAAACAGGAAATAGAACAGTCTGCAGAACCATTATGTAGTAAAATACAACTACTCTACTTCATTGTGAGGATTGTGAGAATTTTGAGTAATTTTTATTTATTTCTTGCTTTTCCATGTATTACAAATTTTTACACTTATACCTTTCACAATGAAGAAAAAATGTTAGAAGGGGATGCTATATATTTCCAACATCCTTATACTAGTTAACAAACTATTTCATAAAAATCCAAGATTTTTGTACCTTGGATTTATGATTAATCATGAAGACAGATGATTTTCTCCTTTTTTAGAAATAACTCTATTTATGAAATACCAATGTCACCAAAACCAAAATATACTCTATTTCCACCACTTTAAAAATTAAAGTAAAGAAGTAAAGTGCTCTCTATGCTCATTTCATCTCCTCCCACAGTCTGGCAGTCTCGTGTGTGCTTCCCAACTTTCCTTTACAGTTACACTGCCTTATCTATTCCTCTATCTGTACACTCACTCATATTTAAAAAATATAAAAACACACATATGTATTAAAACAATAGAACAAGGTTATAAATATTAACCTGAACCTTGCCTTTCTTCCTCAATTAAAATACATTTACATACACACATTCACACACACACACACACGCGCGCACGCACACACACACACACGTGACTTATGGGTTATTTTCAGTTTTTTCTGTTACAAAGAATTACACAAGTGACCATCCTTATGTAAATGGAATAGATTCTAGTAGTGGAATTATTAGGTCACTAACATGGAATAATGCAAATTTGACAAATAAAACAAAGAATAATGCATATTTTAACACAAAATTATTTTCTAAAAAAGAGTATACCAATCTGTTAGATGAGCTGGTTTTATTTGCTTATTTATGCATTTATTTATCAGTGAGTTTGAGCTTTTTTTCATAACTTTGTGCTGCTTTTCTTGGGAATTAACTCTTTATGTTCTTTGGCTGTTTTTATTTTGAGTTGTTTGACTTGGTCTTATTAATTTGCAGGAGCTCTTTGTATATTAGCATCATTCACTCTTTGTTAGTTACTTGTAAACTTTTTTCTCTCCACAAACCTAATCTAAAAGATAATGTTTAATTGAGGATATTCATCCCAGTTTGGAACTTGGAGATCTTTATTGACCTATAAACATGACTACTTTGAAATATCTTAGATTTGCAGTAGAACAAAAAATAGTTTCAGTATTCACTCATTTAATTTAAAATGGAGATTTTGAAGCCAGATCTTGAAACATAACACACACACACACACACACACACACACACACATTTAACAATAATAATTGTATCTGAGTTTAGTATTTGTCACTAACTGATTTTTACTGTATTTGTAAGCATATGGACTTTGAAAGCAGACAGACTTTTGTTCAAGTTACATCTCTGTCATTTATGAGTTGGGTGACTTTGTACAAGATCCTTAATTTCACAAAGCCTCTGTCTCCTTGACTATAAATTACATTGTAAATATTCCTACCTCATAAAGTTACTGTATCAGGATTTAAATGAGATAATTCACTTTGAGCATAGTTCTACCACATAATAAATGTGATTTTTGTCATCATATCATCATTATTGTTCTTATAAATGCAACTGTTAATCTGCATTCTATGGATAAGGACACTCTTCACTAGAAGGATGACATTCTGAGGCTGCCTCAATGAATGACCACCTTCTAGCCCTAGAGAGAGCTTCCAGATCCCTCACCCACACAGGATCCCTTCTCAGGCCTTCATGTCCAATTTGACACTGAAGTCAAACCCAACCTGCCCCTCAAAACTGTTACCACTCCTGCTCTAGCTTTTGCCCATGACTGTGTCCTGTACTTCAGAGTGTGCTGATCAGAAATAACCCAGGCCGGCTTGCAGTATCACGCTGAATGAACAGATCAGCAATGCACTGCCTGAAAAGTTCTTGTGTGTTTATTTTTCTTATTAATCTAACTGACTAGAAAAAAGAAATTCAGGACATGGTGCACGCTGGTAAACAACAAAGAAATATAAAATTGAAGAGAAAAACAAAGGAGAAGGTCTGCTACTGTCCTCTTCACCAAATCTCCATTGCTTTAATGGAGTGTGTGTGCCCAATTTCAGAATTCTCCCTCTCTCTTTTAAATCGGTTTTCTTCAGGCCTCATCAGCTTAATAGAAATACCTTAAATTCCCTCTTCCTTTAAATAAGTCTGAATTCTCTCAGGAACTAGTGTCTCAGGACGGATAAACCAGTTCAGCTGAAATTCAAGCTGACCCAAATTCAAACTTTAACATAAAAGTTCAAATTTTTCAGATTGAAGAATTGAAATCATTTATTATGTTGTTGTTATTGTTGGTGTTACTTTACAGTTTATAGTTTCAGCCAAAGACAAAGGCTTGTGAGTACAAGAGAGTCAGCTTGAAGGGTATTTCTAGACAGGCTGAAATTAGGGAATTGAGTGAATTTTGCAGAAAATCACAGACATGAGACTTCTAAACCCAAAATAAAGTTTGAAGAGGTTTATGAATCATCATCCTTAAGTTCACTGATACTTGTTCTGTGATGAAGGTGGCCTTATTTAACATTGGAGATTCATATGCATATTAAATTTGAGAAGCACTGTTAGAGGATAAGACAGAAGTCCAATCCATATGGAGTTCAGACCGCTTGTGTGCAGGGGATCTTGGCCACCTGAGTTAGTTTACAGAGTATAAAACGAGCTTGACTGATGTGTATATAATATAGTTTTGAAAAAAATCGTATGAAAGGCCTTTTTAATAAGCCCAAATTCTCTGACTTAGATCCAGTTAGGTATAACATTCTCCTTAGATCCACAAGGAGGGAGAAAATAATTCACTAATAGGTTTATTACATCCATTTAGAATCCTGCGGTCTTTTCAGGCTCTAAAATTCTATATATTCATTCAGCCATTCCACAAACATTCATTAAGCCTCAATTTGTGCCAGTGTTAGAATTTAGCAGGTAAATTCCTTTAGTGGCCGACATAAAGGAATAGAAATAGCTTGGGTAAGTTACATAGTAAGAATAATTAAATTGTGTGCTTTTACAGTCAAAAGCTTTGTCTAAGTCAACATTTGCCTTTCAGGTAAACAGTTTTGTTGTGTGATTCAAAATAAACACACAGCCATCGTTCTGGGAGCAGGAAAGGAAAATAAGCTGAAAAAGCTCACTTGAAACTTTTTAATGAATGACAAATGTTGAACCTTACTCTCTGAACTTTTTTTTAAAAAGATAACATGAGTTTTCAATTAAAGAATGAATTTCTGAACAAATGGACTCACCATAGATTCCTTTCCAGCATGTTCATAGTAAACTGATATTATTCACCCAGGATAACCGTGTTTTATAACAGGAGGCGCAGCCAGGTATATGATTCGAATACAGTGCAGCCTTTAAAAAGAGAAGCAGATGTGTCTGCGCGTATCTTGAAAAGAAACTGAAAAATTATATAGGGAAACTGGACTTTAAGTCAACATTTTTTTTTCAAGCTGGAATGATCACACCCCATATTTGAATAGAACCCTTGCAGAATCTCCAAGCTACTGCTTTTCTTGTTTCTACACGGTTCAATTTGCAACACTGAACACCCGACCCACCTCTACCCCTGCCAGTCTGTTTAATGTCCAGAATAAGCATGTTTCTTTAGGCTCCTGTGAAATAGGCTTACATTGAATTAAGATTCACCTTCTAAACAATACAGTTCCTGATTTTTTTTTTACTATAATCACATGAAAGCTGTTTTCTTTACATAATTTATTATCCTGCAGACTTTTGAGGAACTGCTGGTTAACTTCCAGATATCTCCTCAAGGGCAGGGAGGTTTCTCATGCTTTTCCTATACTCATCTCCCACCTCTCACAGACACTGGGTTTGTGCCTAGGGACAGGCTAACGTCAACAGTGCCTTCAGCAAGTGCATTCACTGCACTGGAGCTCTTACCTCCTTAGGTTATGATTAGCTGCCTAGCTGCCCCTCTGGAGCCAGGGTTAATGCATTTTTGCATGTCTACGTAAACTTAAAACAATACCTGGCCCCAACCCAGTGCTCAACAAACATTTGCTAAATGGAAATCGAACATGACTACTTGTTCATTAGAGCTAAATCCTAAATGGCTCTTAAGGAGAGATTTGTTGAGCATGTCTTTATGTTGCTATGATTTACCTATTTCTACAAGATGAGAGCATCCAAATAGGAAAAGACAGGAACACCTGATTTGGTTTTCAATCATGTGAAAGATCAAAACAGAAAGATCATCTAGCTCCATTTCACCTTTGGATAGATGAGAAAACCGAGGCTCAGAAAGCCTAAGAGACATCGCAAGTTAAGGCCAGCCCCAGTTAGTGCCCTGGATCTCAAGCCCCATTCCTCACCTCCACTGAATGCCAGCCTGGTCCATCTAGCTGCCAAGAGCTCCATGTGGATGACTGATGTGCTGCTCAGACTGAACTTGGCTCTCACCACCACCTCTGAGCTGCTTTCTCCTGACTTCCCCATCTTAGGACCAGTCACCTCACTTCTCAGGTCAAAAATCTAGGAGTCATCCTTGATTACTCTAACCTCCACAGCCTATATCCAGCACACCAGCCGGTCCTCTTGTTTCTACTTACACAACTTGTCCCAAATTTGAAAACTTTTCACCCAAGTGGCCGAAGCTAGTTCTGCTGCAGTAGCCTCCTCACTAGTCCCTATCCTTGCTTTCACCCCTACAGATGCTTCTCAGCAGGCAGAGCCAGCAGGCCAAATGAGATTCCGATCATATTATTTCCCCTGCTTAATCCCCTCTTCCTTCCCACCACCGCACCCATCCATCTTCCCTCGTCAGTGTTGTTAAATCTCACGTGGATTCCAGAATTCATACCATGGATCACAAGACTTTATGCGATTGAGATTTTCAAAGTAAGTGGATTGTGTCTCTTACGGGCACAATCTCCTTTCAATCCAGTTCAAAGTCGGAGTAGAGATCACTGGCCCAAATATGAAGTAAGAGTGTTTCATGAAAGAAATATTGAATTTCTACCCACATACCAAGAAGGAGTGTTTTTTAGAAAAAGAATTGAGAGGTGAGAAATGACCAAATACAACAAGACTGACCTTTATATCAAGTCCATGCCTCTTTATGGATACACATTATACCTTGAACAATAGACACTCTCAACATGCATGGTCAGCTCCTTGGGGATGAGGACTGTGTCTGCACATCTTTATACCCCCAGAGTTCAGCACAGTTTCAGGATCAAAATGGGACTCAATTACAAGCATGTGGCATGAAGTAGTAAATGACTTGTCACACTTAGTCTGTGAAGTGCCTGATTACACGGTGTTGCAACAGTGCAAGTTAGTTGTAGCACCTTCTAGTTACAAGCCCACACAGAGCTGTTTGGAAGAGACATGGTGGGAGGGGGCCATCATCAGAAAGGAGGACACTTGTTTCCTGTGCAGGCATGGGCCATGACTGACATTAAATGCCTCCCTTCAAATCCAGGCGGTCCAGTGAAAATTCGTGGCTTTTAGTTTTTAACTCTCTCCCTCTGAACCTGCCCAAATGTGAACACCATGGTATAATTTACCACCTTACATTTCTGTAGACAATTTTACACAGTGCTTGCTGGAGGAGTGATGCTGAAGGTAGTGAGTATTGTTAGCCTCACTCTAGATTAGAGAACTGAGTCACTAAAAAAGATTAAAGGACCCAGGTCGGACCACAAGCATGCTACAGTGCAGATTCCAACCTTTGTGATGCTGTTATTTGTTTGCTTGGTTGTCCTGCCCTGCTCTTACTTCCTCCCTACATACAATTTTTCCAAAAAGAGGCTCATATCATAGTACTTTTTAAGGCAAGTTTAATTTCAAGCTGTCCCTTGAGATAGCTGGTGATACCCTGAGCCTGAGTCACAGGAGCTTCTTAAAAGCAGGCATTAGACCTCCTAACACCTGTCTGTCCTAATCTCCTCATCAAGGATTTTAACAAGCTATCATCACAGACAATTCTTTTCTCGGTGAATGGAAAATATTTCCGGAACTGTATTCAAGCACTCCATTTTCCCATCAGAAAAGTAATTGTGGCTGGCCGATAAACCAGTTTGAAAAATCAAATTTAAATGAGCCAAATTTAAATTTTATTATAAGAGCCTCATTTAACATGCAATTAGTTTTATGCCTATAATAAAAAGAGAAAAACCTCCGGTCTCCCTGAGGAACTAAAGAGGCTGATGAGGAAATGCTGTTCCTCACGGAAATGAGATGAAATGATTCTTGAACACTGTCATCCTTGTGGTTGCATAACATTACATACAATACATTCTATTTCAGGGAAGAATTAATTTTACTGAAATTAATTAATTTTTTCTGAGTACTTGTAGGAATGTAATCAGATGGTTAGGGCTGAAACATTAGCTATTGGATCTGATTTTTTTTTTTTTAATTCTCACTCTCTCTTTTATATTACCTCTTAAGTCTTTACAGATTCTAGTGTCTTTGTTTCTTCCCAAAAGAATGGGGAATGATAGAAATGGTAGAGGGTATTTTGTTTTAGGTTCTTTAAACTTTGTTCCAGTTGGTAAGATGTTGAGCAAAGCCTTCACCTGCTAACCCTTTATATTACTATTAAAACACACATGTACATTATGTGGGGTTAGCCAGTCATTTATTTCTGATTTATACCATTTTAGTGGGCTTTACTAAGCCCATTAAGTAATTCAAAACATAAAACTTAATTTGCATTTTTCAAGAAAAAATATGTAAACTCTTGAAAAGAAGCTGCTTTTTATTCTAAACTTTGCTTCTGCATATTGCCACACTGAGTCACCGTGAAAGATCATTACTATGTATGTATTTTCCAGTGGGAGTGCTCACATCATTGAAAAGGTCTAAGACTTCTTTGTTGGGGACAAAGTCAACATTTGATGTATTTTAAAAAGGTTCTAGGGACCAATTCACACATTGTATTCAATGTATTTTTTTTTAACTCGTTCAATGCTTTTTTTTAAAAAAAAAAAAAAAAGTAAATTCTTAAAGGAAACCAAAGTGCAATTCTTTCTAATAGTGCTCGTACTTGGACTTTTTTTTTCCTGCCTCTTCTCCCAGGATTGAAGGGCTCCCTCCAGAGGCTGCAGCTGGAGTATGTGGATGTGGTCTTTGCAAATCGACCAGACAGTAACACCCCCATGGAAGGTGAGTGAAGACATGTAATAAAAGACTCTAGAATTATTGATTCCAGCTTGAGGACTTATTCTAATCACAGTAGGAAATGAAATATATTCAGGCTGATCTGATTGAATACAAATATAAAAACTGTTCTGATCGATGCCTTTCCATCTCAGTATTTGCCCTTAAAGCCAATGCTCTGCATCCTGCATCTTTATTTTTTAATTCTTGATTTTTTTTTTAGCAGTTGAAGACACTAGGTATGTGGCTCCTGCTGGGTACAGTGCTCACTTTTTCCACATTCATTAAACTTTTGTGATTTCATCAGCTAAAACAGTAACATCAACTGGAGGGAGAGTTTATAACCCAGCCATCATTATTTCAGTGAGTCCTCTGAGGGTCTTCCTGTTTTATGACTCTAAGTCTGATTAGTTTCCAGTCTGCGGTAACCAGCGCTAAGTGGTCCCATGAGTAGAGGTTTTACGGGAGCGACTTCATCACAATTTCATTGTTGATTCTCAAGGAGCTACAACATTCTATCCCCTATTGTTACAACTGTTTGAAGACCATAGCTTAAGCTTCTCCCAGTGGAAGTTTTCAGAATGTTCCTAAAACAAGAAAAATTTACATTTATTTACAGAATCTGTTTAGGATGACCGAGAAAGGAGGGTTGTTTGGGAGAACAAATTAAAAAGAATGTTCCGGTTAATTGAGGTTTATAATCATATGGATTATCTCTGACCTGAGGTGGCTGAGAATGAATATATTTGGAAAGAAGAGGAAACAGGAATATTCTGGTTGTTTTACTTTACAACATGACATGAATTATCAATTTTCAAAGAGTTAGAATAGTGTAATCCACATAAAATTACACTGAAGATAATTTTGTCCTTGATGATTCAAAAGGCAGTACAGGATCTTGTAATAATATCGGGCTCTGTGAAGATTTATTCTTGCTGTAGGATTATAGAAGGGTTTACAGAAGTACTAAAAAGGTATAAATGATTGAAGTACATATGAATTGCCTTAGGTTGCATATCTGGCCATAAAAATGTTACAAAGATTATTTTCCTTGCCATTTATCTCCTTCTCAACTACAAAGAAATGCTTAATATATATATATATATATATATATATATATATATATAATTTTCTCATAAGAGTTTTCTGCTTTCTTGATTCTGGGTAAATTAGGAGTTTACTATAAAGCAATATCAGTGTTGGAAATTACCCATTGAAATGATATAAAAATGCATATTTTTGTCAAAGCGAAGATTAGGTGTTTGATAAAGAAAATCATAATCATTTTATAAGTGTAAGTGTTTATTAAGAGGATAATACGCATCCTAACGACACTTTAAAACCGAGCACTAGAGTTATTTAGTAAGCAAAAGTATCAAATAAAATGCTATTTAGTGGGGTCTATGGAAAAGTGGGATTGCTTCCCATATTAAGTGCCTAGTGACTGTTTTTCTCTTTGGAATAGCTTCGATTACACCATGTACAGGATAGCAGAATATCTGAGATTTTTCAGGATTTTTTTTCCTGGTCCTACCCATATCTTTAATTTTAGGGATATATTGTAGGAGTCTTTCAAACAGAAAACATAATTTGTACTGTATCTATAGAAGAAGGAGGAAATTCTCAATTAGGAGCCAAGCTGTGTGATACTAACAAGATAATGATGTCTATTGTATACACACTGATTATGTCTTGAAATTTATTAGAAGGGAGCTTCAAAGTGTCTAAAAGAAAAGAAAAAGCCTGCTACTGCCCGATGGACTTTGTCAGTGCAGCATTGTCTAGCCTCTGCTGGAATCAGAGGAAATTTACATTTTCCTTAATTTTCACATAAAATTCCACAAAGCAGAATAGGAAGCTATTTTATCATGAGTCATTGTCCAAGTTCAGAAGCATAATGAAGGGTGTCAAACAATGGAGATTTACCACTTGTTGATAAGGTCAAGGAACATAGCATTTTGTGTGCAGCTCAGCAGCAATCAACTACCTTGTCTAGAATGTAGCCTGTTCCCCCTCACCCCTGCAAATGGAGAACCACTCCTAGCAGGCCCATCAAGCTCTGAGGCTTATTCTTCTAGTAGGACTTAGCAGGCAATTCTTTATGTAGGACTTGTTACAGATTGAAATAGCTTCCATGTGAATTTTCCCTAACTTTTAGAAAATGTGTATCCTCAAATTTAGTATTCCCTTTTGTTCCAAGGTGGGCCCAATTGAAATGCCAAAGTTTGATAAGTAGTCTCTGGAAACACATTGTCCACACTTAGTCTTTTTTACTTTATCATAACAGAGGAAGTACTGATCTGTGAAACAGAGAGAAGAAATGGGAAATAAGGGACAAGGATTACCAAGTAGACTTGGGTACATTTTCTCCTCTAAAAATGAAAAAAAAAAAAATGGTGTTTGAGCTGTTTCTGGATTCCAGGTTGTTAAGATTCATTTTTGCAATGATTTTGTAAATCACATGTGTATGAATGTGAATTTAAGTTGGGCATAGACACTGGGGTCTGTCTGAGAAAGGTTGTCAGTGTTCCTAAAAACAATGTTGTTTGTAATCAAAATTACTCTTGAAAACTACAGTAACTTTTGTTAGTCAGTGTTACTCTATAGCCTTTAACTTTTCAATTTCTTCTTCAAATGTAGTGAAAAACCATCACCATATACTTGTTCAACCACTTTTCTTTTTGATAATGGCAGGAAAGTCCTTAATATCATTCACATCCTTTCCTTGTTGGAATGACTTGCGTTAGCTGTTTAGCTGTTTCAGGCTCAATTGCATCCATTTCTGTTCAATATAAGTGACACACAGTGACTGCCAAGAATATATTGTTGAATTATCATACATTAAATCTACATACATTAAAATTAAAGATCCTTCGAATTCGTAGATCATTTTTATTGGTTTCAACCATTCCTTGTCAACTTCATGAAGCCACAGTAAATTATAATTTTGCTGAGGCACTTATTTTGAATCTGAGAGATCTGAACACTTATGGAATGAGAGAATCCAGCCCAACTCAGCGCTAGCTCTTCTCCGTCGTTGATTACAAAATAGAGTGAAATTCAGGAACTTGGGCATGCTGAAGAGTCTCCAGACATAAACCATGTGAATGTCAAGGGTCACGTGTGTGCCTACTTCATTTAAATGTTATTAGGATGCCAGCCCCTCTCATGTGATCTGTGCCATGAAAGAAAGTTAATTGGGAGCATTTCTAAAATAAACCAAGATGAGTTTCATCCAGTTTCCACGTACCGTATAGCAACCAATTGTGCCAGAAAAAGATTAGCTGCAGCACCTTCTCAATAAGAATATATTGGCATCTATATCCAATTAATTGTTGCCTTCCCTTCCTCCTTAGAAAACAAATAGATGAAAAACAAGTCCTCTCAAAAGAATGGCTGTAAATGCCAAATGTGCAATCAGTGAAGAAAGGGGTGAGATACTTCATTTGCAATCGGCAACCCCATGGAATACAATTAGACATTTTAGGGCTATGGCAAGACGTTCCTGACAACAGAGGGGAACTCGTCTACTTTTTCCCCTGTCCTTGTTTATTTTTTCTGGTTCACCTAGTAGTAAGTCATTTTTCTTTCAAAGCATCTGCCATGCCATCTGTCTCTGCTACAATATCTGGCAACGATGGCGTGTTTTCCAATCCTAGACAAAAATCAACCCCACATCCCATTTCTTCTTTCTTAGGATGCTATATTCCTCCCAGTAGAGTCCCTGACAGTTCCTTGTGCTCTGTAAAACTCATATTCTTAATTCTCTCACTTCCATAAATTCCCAACGTGTATTTCAAAATCTTCTCTTGAGCTCATTAGACAAGTGAAAGTACAAGCCAACACGAGTCATGCTGGACAAAGATAGACACAGAGCCCTGTGTGTCTGAGGACCCACACTAGGAGTTTTTTGGTTTGGCTTTCTGTCATTCAAAACTCATATTCTTAATTCTCTCACTTCCATAAATTCCCAACGTGTATTTCAAAATCTTCTCTTGAGCTCATTAGACAAGAGAAAGTTCAAGCCAACACGAGTCATGCTGGACAAAGATAGGCACAGAGCCCTGTGTGTCTGAGGACCCACACTAGGAGTTTTTTGGTTTGGCTTTCTGTCATTCCCAAATGCCAGGTTAATTTCTGTATCTATACTCTTCTCACTACTCCAGGGAGGAAGTGATTGAACATGACCGTAGTCATGAACAGAGGCTGTAAACCACATACCACTTGTGCATAACAGCAAAAAGAGGGACACACTTTAGTTAACATAGCTTTTAAAAATGGAAAGAAAAAAGCATACTTATTTGTTGATCTGAAAAATGATTTTTAATTAAATTAAATTATTAATTTTTAATTTGTAAAACACTTGGAATTGAGTTTTCTTACTTTTTATTTACAGCTTGTTGTCAAAACTAGCTAATCTCATAGAATTCCTGAGTTATTGAATATTATTCCCATGCTAATTACAGTTCATGTTATTTATTTTTTCTTACTAGCAGGTCAGTGAATACTTAATGCAACCCAGAAGTCTTAATTTCAAATAAGAGAGACAAGACCAAAGTTAGCTTCATTTAATTCCCATAATATCATCATGTCAAACAACCAGTTCCATAAGTATGCTTCTTTCTAAGCCATCTTTTTTAGTGTTGTCATATATAAGCAGGAATCTGCAGATATTTAGGAATCTAAGATATCAAATGACAACTCAGAAAATGCCAGAAAGCAGAAAATGTTGCAGCATCCCAAATTTTCTACGTTTTTTCAATTCCAGAATCCTGGACCTAGATATTTAACTTCCAAATTAAAGTTTTCAGAACAAAAATTTAATCACCTAAAACCTATAAACATTATTTAACCACAATGGATCATCACCTCT